AGGACATAGTGGGATTGCTGGAAACACAGCAGAAAAATATGCCTATTAGGTATGACAAAACCCCTCTATCTAATATTAAAAAATATTTCGGCTGACTTCAAAAATACTTTGAATAGACAATGGCAACAAACAGCTGTAGGAAAACAGCTTCATATATTTGTTTCAGACATTATACCAATAATGACAAAATCAAAAGTACACACTACAAACTGAAACAGTTTTTAACTGAACATGGACAAAGCAAATTTTACTTAAAACAATTTTATCTGAAGAACGATATATGTCACTTCAACGAACTAACTACCCAAACATTTCATATTCTGCAGGATTGTCCTATCTAATAACTATAAATTTTTATTTGTGATAACGTTTAAACCCAAACTTTGAACGGCGGATTGAAACGGCGGCAACAATAAAAACATCTAAAAAATCACTGCTTTCTGATTATTTATCTCCTGTGATATGTAGTACAGTTAACTAACTTCCTTCAATAATACAACAAAATTATTAATCACAACAATCTTCTTGGTGGAGTTGAAGATCAATTTAAGGATAATTTTTTTCATATCATTTATATTTTTTATATATCTCCTGCGATTTTATTGTAGTTATCATGTTTTTTTTTTTCATTCTGTTTTGGTTTCTTTGTAATTACCTTATGTATTTTAATTTATTTATTTTTTTAACCTGACTCATTAGAAAAAATTGAACTTTATACTATAATTATAGTCATGTAATTTATAAGTTTTAAAAGAACTGTAATACTTTAATTGATACATGTATATGCGTAATACATGCAACATTTAAAATTAACAATACATGGCCTTCGTAGAGGGTTACTGTATGAGAAAAGGAAATAAAAAAAAAGAAAAAAAAAGTACACTAAATTATAACAAGGGATAAATCCCAAGAACAACACGCGTAAGGAATTCTTGTATGATAAATACAACGATTATCTAATATATAAAATATTTAGTTGATAATCGATAGATTAATTATACTATATTATATAATTTATAAATGTTTAGAAAGATTTAATAAATGATAAAATGCGAATAAAAATCCCAAACCACTCTTCGTTCACGTGGCCGGTTGATCTGAGAGGAATGCAATCCAGAAATGCTCGATCAATTGTTTAAGATTTCGATACAATGCCACGTATATATTTAGCAAAGGCCATTGAGATTAAAAAAATATCTTTATTGACTAAAATTATCAGTTAATTGCAATTGAATTGGATGCAAGGAAACCAGACATCTAAAATAATAATAACAGGAGGAATCCTAAAACTCCAAAAATTAAAGCTATCAATAAAAAAAAAACAACAATAAATATTTAGATTAATCGCAATACAAGTATAAAAAATCGATTGCAAAGAGGTCAGCTTATCTACATAATTCCCACGATTAACATTATTCTTATAAAAACTATTCAAAAAACATTTGATTGCATATAAACATGAAACGAATTTTTTTTTCTTCCTCTTCATTCTCTGAACTTCAACGTCAGTTCAAAGTTAACCAGCAATTACATAAAATGAAATAAAGCGTGCTATTTGAAATGCTAAATAAGTTAAATAGGATTGATTTGACTTCCTAATAAATTTGAATAATAATACATTAATAGAAAAATCATCAACAGCCATTGGCGTAGCAGAGAAGGGGGCTTGCCTAATCGAACTAATTTGAAAGAAAATAAAACATAATATAATACAAAAGGTTTCCCGAAAATTTTAGAAAATTCATTTTTAAAAATTGTTTTTAGGAGCTTTCATATTTTATTTTAGTATTAGGAGAGTAGGAGATGACAGGAGCTCTATAATTAGCATTAATTATAAAACTGTTCATTTAATTACATATGTGTTAAGCTCTTGTAACCTCCTACTATCCTAATACAAAATATAGATTTACATCCAGTGTCTTCGTTACAGTATTGAGCTCCTGTAACCTCATACTCTCCTGATACAATGTAAGGGAAATAATATTCATCTGGAGGTGGTAGTTTGATTTTTCTTAGGTGACAGCAGTCATTTTCCCCTTGATTATAAAATATCAATTATTATATTATATATAATATTATTTATATTATATTGTCATATAATTATAATTATTATGAAATAGAAAAGAAAGCAGAATATAATATGTATAATGAAAATATTAGAAATAAAAGATTCAAAACTTGATATTGAGCTTATATGAAGAATAATTACAATTATTTAATAATTTAAATTTGCAATTAGGCGCGATATATAATATAGAGTTTTAAAGAAATTAAAAATTTGTCCGAAATTGGGTTTCGTTCAGTTTATTTTATGTTAATAAAAAGTCAATTACAGAATAAATGTAAATTAAATTTATAGAATTAGAGCAACAAGTAGTACAATTAAATGAACAGTTATATAATTTGTAAAATGGGGGTTGGTCCGCCGTTGAGCGGATAGAGGAACCCCCTCCCTCCCTCTTCCCCTAGTTTTATATAAAAAATATTTATAAATTGTAATAATATTAATAAGCTATCCCGAAATAAAAATTCAGTCTAGCCCTAATATGAAACATATATGTATTTGATGTAAGCAGCATACAATAACAGTAAGTATTAATACAGTAACAGTAAGTAAAGTACAGAATACAATAACAGTTTCTGGAAGAAATTATGTGAACTGTTGATGAAAGGAGTAAATATATTCATACAAATACAATATTTATTTACACAACGTTAGTTGTAGACTAAATACTAATATTTTACCGACATTGAAACTTAAAGGATATACAGACGATCAATGGGCAATGTTGATAGTAGATATTTCAAGTTGAAAACGATGTTGACATATATCAAACTGATTTGATCTAATCCCAACATGCCATGTTGACAAGATAGGTAACCAACTTAATCGCTTTATAGTCTACTTAACAATCATTAAATTAAAAAAATATATTATCATGGAAATCATTTGTCCTAGCCATAAGATTGTTCTGTTTAAACAAATCTAATAAAATGTCTCGCAAGAATTATTTTTTATTTACATTTTTTGGTAATAATAGCATGAAATTTTTGTTTTATTTAAAAAGGATGAATATGAAATCCCCTACAAGAAAATACAATATTTTACTTCAATATCAGTACTAGAGAATATATAATAATTTGATCCTAAATCAATTGTTGGCAACAGTGTTGATCGCCCGTAGGCCCCTAACAACACTGATAAGAATATTGTATAAGTTATATTGATAAGTTAATAACAATTTCGACTAAGATCTTAACAGGATATATATGTTATATAATGTAACAAGAAAATATTAGGCATATCACCTAGGCAAGCAGTTATATAATGCGCACACTCTTAATGGATTTATTTCAGGGTTATCCAATGAGTAGTATCTATTATTGCAAAAATTATAAATATATATACAAATATTTTAACTTATGTATATATTGTACTTTTATATAGAAAAAGTATGTTGGATAGTTTAAATGGCAGTTCTGGCGAAGTGGGTTAAATGCGAAAGCTCGTTATTGGTGAAAGAGGACGAATAAGTAGGGCGTTTCTTGGGGAGTAAGTTAACACACTATCACCTCAAGTTTAACATGAGTTAGTTACATTGCAAATAATAATATAATTTTATCAAATTTCATAAATATTAAATAAGTACAATATTAAAACACTAATAATTAAAACTATTAACTGAAAAATATGACAAATTATACACCATTTAATACGTTTACTTAAAAAAAAACGAAGAAGAAAAAAAATCATATTTTTTAAGAACTTTATTCAACACATTTACTAGTTGACCTGTTCTAAAATAGAGTGTTATGTAACAGTTTTGCTAGGAAAAAAACAAAAGAATCGAAAAGGTTATACTGACAATCTTATCTTAAAATGTCCGAATTTGATAATCTAAGCAGATTTAATAACTACAACGCATATTTAGTCAAATAAATAAATAAAATTGTATTAAATTAAATAAACACAAATAATGAATTTAAACGATTATTGTTACCAATAAGGATAAGATTAATTATTGTTTATTTTTGATATTAATAAAATTAGTCACACGATCATAAAATATGTATATATATATATATACATATATATAAAGGAGAAATTATAGATGTCATGACATTAATTTGTTCAATATCAAACAACATTAATAATATTTTATAAATATGTCAAATTTTAAGTTGACAACAAAGCCATAGGTCACTAAGAGATGAATGAAGTTGGGCCGAGAAAGGTGTGTTGACATTGACTCGAATGCCAAGACAGTGCATCATGAGCCACGAGGTGCATATTGCACTGTTGTTTTTTAGTTACAGTATTTAAATACATACTATCCTTTATAATAAATATATGTATTATAAAGGTTAGTCCTTTATTCCAAAAACAAAAAATAAAAACCTTCAAGAAGTAGTCGATAATAGTTACTTTGGAAAAAAATACGTTTTTATTTTCTAATAAATCCAAACCAAAATAAACCGTATATCATCGGTTTATAGCAAAACATCATTAAGTAACTTTTGATATTCTTAAATCTCTGATGAATTTTCTCGAGGTAAGATCAGAAAATTGTTCACTTGTTATTCTATTTTGACATGATTTTAGTTAACTTAATGCACTAGCGGATCCAGGATTTAATTTTTGGGAGAGGGGGCTTCAGCCCGAAAGTTTTTTTTTCATATACATAAAACGACAATTAATTAGAAAAAAAAAGAAAGAAATTAACTATGTATATGAAATGGTGTTTAAGTGGGTCTTGAAGTCCTATTAATTGTAATTACAAGAACAAGAATACTTTTTAATATTTTTTTTCTGTAAAACATGGTTATATTTTACCATTTTGGGGGCTTTCGGTGTGAAGCCCCCCTGTGACTTAATGAGTTTTTGCCATAAACCGAAGATATTTTCACTATAGTATTGAGCTGAATCCAGGTCTGTCTGAAAGGGTGCAGTACAGTGACTGGACGGTTAGTGATTTAGTCAGATAATTTAGTGTACTCACATAAGTTGACAGCTGCATCGAAGACCGCAATGGCCTCTTCCAAGAGGTCATCCTGAGCCAGAGCAACCCCCTGCTCTCTGAGTCGTTCGGCCTCCAACTCCTTCGGCCACCACTTCTCGGTGGCCGCTTTGACCAAGACGTTCTGCTCTACCCCCGGGGGTACGACGGCACCACAGTGAGGACAGCTCTGGCCCAGACACCTCTTGCAGCCGGTGTAGCCGCAGGAGAGGGTGACAGGACTGCGCGGGATCCACTGACAGACGACACAGCACAGCGGAGGACACCTGGAAGCGATGGTTCCAGCGACGGCCTCCAGGAACATGCAGCCGGACCTGAACAGTACGCTGGAGTCGCGTGCGGCCTCCGGAGCTGCTGAGCTCAAATGCTCCGTCTTGATCGCGAGCATGTCGAGTACTGAATGCTCGGGGGTCCATGAGCCACCCCCCACTCCTCGCCCTAGAACCACGTCGCGCTCGAGCATCTCTGCCCGGCTGCCCCCTTCCCCTCCACTTAAGTAGTCACTCCTATCTCCTGTTATCGCCCCAACGTAAACAGACTCGTCCACCTTTTGGTTTACAATCACCTTCCCGGGTTTGTTTATTTACCTATTTTTTGCCTCATCCAGATCCTGTTTGCTGGCCTCCGATCGGACGCTTCCTAAGATGTGATTAGATTTTATTGCTATTGCTGCTAACTGCCATTTTCTACATGCAGTTTTCCTACAATATCCTCATTAAATACATTTATATCTGATTTATACATTATTCAAGGCAGTTAAGTCAACATTATGTAGAGATAATAAGTATGATTTATATGTAAATACATTGAAATACAACAACAGTTTTGTATATCTTTACAAATAGGACTTAACAATATCTCATTTATCTATTTTTTTAATTTTTATTTTAATGAAATTTACAACTGTATTACATGACATGTACAACATGAAGAGAAACTACCCATTGGTCTTTATTAGAAGGTCCCGAGACCATCTTCTTTTCTGACGCTTCGTAGGATTATCAAGGATCGAAGAGGAAGCAAGGTTTGAAACAAAGAGTTCGGATGGTTCTGGAGTTTGCTATGGAAGGATAGGTATCTGGATTGGGCCAAATCGGAAACATATAGAACATTAAGGTCTTTATGGATGATTTTATTTGTGACAAAGTAAGGAGCGTTGAGGATTTTACCACGGATTGGATACGAGAGGAATTCGATGGTTTAGTGGAGCCCCAAAGCTCTCTAAAGAGATAAATCTAGAAAACATAGGATACTTACCCATCATTTGGCCATCATTAAACATTTATTCTACCATGCTGGCTCAGGTGAGAAGGGGTTAGGTTGGATATTTTTATAAAGCAGCAAAAAAGGTTAAGAGATCTATTTACAGAATTTATACTATGTATAAGCAATAGAAATACAATAAAAGGAAAAAAGAGAGAATTTATACATAATTACTATATACAATTAAAGATAAATTGGAAAATAATAAAAATACAAAAAAAGATACTTATTCTATATACAATAGTATGGCATGCTACATAAAAACATCAAGTACCGAAAGTCAAGATATAAGAAATATAAGATATAACAGCACATGCACATGCTATGATAGGAATTAATAATCAGTCACAGGAAACAAAAGATAGAATTTATTTTTTTTCCAATGCTTTCTTAATCTTGTTTACAATATATATATATATATGTATATATATATATATATATATGTGTGTGTGTAATATAATATATATAAAATGCTCCACCACAGATCCTAGATAGCACTTTGATTATTTATCACCTTATTCCTAAAAGTTCTAAGTTCATAAAACCATTAGAGAATATCTTATTCAGAATACAGAGCTCAATTTTGAATTTGGAAATAAAAGAAATTTGTTCAATCATAGCGTGTATTGGATACAAAATAGATAACATTCTAGTACAACTTTCTGGAAAAACGGATCAAAAAAAAAAAATGTCATTACCTATTATCAGACTATAATTCATATCTTAAGTTATAATATATAAAGGTCGAATTATAAAAAAACAAAAAACATTATATATATATATATATATATATATATATATATATATATATATATATATATATATATATATATATATATATATATTCATCCTCCCTCTCTGACCTCCCGTTTTGCTATCTTAAATGCACTTCTGGAAAATCCTCCACCGACCCTTTTATTTATCTACCAAAGTGTCAGTACTTGAATACCTTCAGTGGTCGGAAATCATCAATCACATGAAACATGAATCATCAATCAAAATTTTTTTATTATTAACCATTGTCTGTCTTATAATACTATATCTCTTAATATATTAAACAATTTTACAGCCCTGATGATGACCCACATGTTTGGGTTGAAACGTCGGCACCAATAAAAACTTTATAATGACTGCGTCCTGAATATTTATCACCCGAGAATATATATATATATATATATATATATATATATATATATATACATACAATTTTTATTTATATAAGATATATATTTTTTTGTCCAACATTCACAAAGTAATAACATTTACAAATAATGTAAATATTATTGTGTATAATTTTACTTTTCTATATTCACAAAATAATAACATTTACAACATACTCAATTATAATAGTGTATAAATTACTCTAGTAAACTTTGCTCTGACTGATCGTCATTTGTATCATACTCTAAAAATGATGCAGTAGGTTTATGATAACTAAAATATGTGATGAATACTTTTGATTGAAATCTATTTGTTAAATATCAATCGAAAACTCCATCATTTTTTTTAATACACCTTCTATAACGGGAATCCAGTAGTTTGTCAAAACTTTTGAGTGTAACAGAAAATTGAACCGAAACACAAACATTGAATAGTAAAGTTCTTATTTCTTAGTTTGATGGCTAATTAAAAAAATATCAACATTGTCTTCCGAACATCAGTTTTTGATTTCTATCGTATTAAAATTTTGATGTATTTTAATCAAAATGTTCAAAACAGTCGTTCTTATTTGATTTTTTGGCGTTATCGTTTTCCCTTTCCGACTCTCTGACTCGTCGTGACGTCAAAACAAAATTTTGATTTATAGCTCGTTAGAAAGAGGATGAATTGTTGAACGTCTAATTTATAAATTATATTTCCGATCGTGTTACAATGGCTAGGAAAATATGATTCCGGTATCAAATTGCTTGGCAAAAGCTTGAATTGGGCTTATGTTAATATCGACGAGTAATTTGCACAAGCTGCAGTTACTCATTAGCAAAATACACTTGGGTCAGAGAACTTGAGAAATACAAAGAAAATGTGCGCGTGACGCGAATCCGTTCTAGGAAGATCGATTTAAATGTTCTTGGAAGAGACTGTACGGGAATTTAAATCACATACCAAGAACACGTCATCTATAAATCAAGTATTGGCAAGTACATTATACAGTTATTTATTATACCTAGTCCGGTCATAAGCATTGTTACATGGAAATATATACAGATTACAATAGAAAAATTCATTTTATCACTAACTTCATTAGAAAATGAAATGTATATCTATAGAGAGTAAAACAAAAAATAAATTACTCAAAATGTCTCCCTTTTGCCATTTAATCTCCGTGGCCAGTCATCAATAGCAGCACTCAACAGTTCATGAGGAAAGCGCTCAACTGCTGGGAACAGAGATTGTTCGAGGCTTTCCAAGTTAGGGTGTGCTCTGTGGCATGCCATCCTCTCCAGTTCGGACCCGATAATCTAGTGGGTTGAGATCAGGACTTCCTGAGGGCCAATCCGAGGCAGAGATGAACTCTGGAATGTTCTTTTGCAGCAGCTGCTGAGTTGAACTGGCCTTGTGATAGTTTTAAGTGGCTGTTTTAACTCCTTTTTCACAAAAATGGAACATTGAGTGATGACCTCTTTCCACTCTTCCAATGACTTCTTGGGCTTATTTAGAGCTGTGTGCATACACATGATCATTTTAGCGACTACATTTCTCTTCAATTGTAAACATTTTCTCATCGCTAAACAAAATCTTTCGATGAAGACCATTGGTGTAACGGCCAAGGAGCACTTTGCATCTATCCATTCTACTTTTTTTTAAGGGAAGGGTTAGCCTTTGTTCTGTCATTCTTCGAAATGTATCTATCCTAAGGTCACTTTTTATTATACGAGACATTAATCTGACAGAAATTCCCATTTCTCGAGACCTGATTTGTTGTTTTCGAATGGGATTTCTTCTGATTCCAGCAGCACTGCTCACACTGCATTTGCCGTCGAGGTCTGTCACATACAGATATGGTCTCATTATATCTATTTATAGTGCGGTACACGAACATACGGCTGATACCCAAAGATTTTAAAATATTTAATATTTCTGACCTAAATTTTCCAACATTGTGTAAGGCGATCACAGCTATTTGTTTTGTTTTTTCATCACCCAACTCCATGTTAAGTGAGCTAAAGAAAAATATAAATATGATATTTAAAGAAAATAACCTGGTAGATACTAGTGGTAGATACCTACCTGGTAGATATCTACAAAGCTTTCTTCTAATTTTCGAAGAAAATTTCTAAAAATAACATATTAAGGTGTAGAATACTTTGATAAAGGGGGTTATGACACGCGTACCTGGACACAAGAATAAATACATTAGAAGCTGCATACTGAAGACAATTTCTTTGAACTTTACGTGTAAGACTTAAATATTAATGTTATTTATTTTCCTTAGATTCGTTTTATAGAACTAATTCTCACCTTGCCAAGACACGTTTCAAATCCATGAAACATCCATTAAACATTTACATTTTATGGCATTTAGAATATTTCTACAGCTGACAGGGATGAAATTATGCAAAAAAAAATTATTGAAATTTTATTTTATTAATTTCAAAGTAGATATTAACCAAAATTAACTAACTTATTGCGTTTTACGACCTGGATTTATCGGCGATTGTTGGATACTGTCAAGAATTCTGGCAATAGAAAAATCTATTTTTGCTTAATATTGTGTTTTGCTCGCACCAGATTTTTTTTTTTTTAATCTTATGAAGGTACTGAGAAATGTTAATAGTGAGACAAGAGTGCCGCAGTATACATGAAACAGGGACCTATATGAAATGTACCTTTATGAAGACAAGATGAGTATATTTTTTATTAGCGATAACATACATATATAATTTCTAGCGCTTTCCGAAAACGATAATTTTTACTTTTATTTTTTTATTAAAATATCAATAGACGATAATATCGAAGTAGATGCTATCTATGGTAAACTATCGAAGATCGGAAGGAAAATAACGTTAAAATAGACTATCGATGTTCATCCCTGGAAGGTATCCAGTCAGCCCAGGAGCAGCCATGAAATCAGAACAGCATTATATAAGTAGCCAGTGTATTTTGAAATTCGAAAAATAATAATAAACATTTTCAAGGGTTTTATCCTTGGAGGTGTCCTTCTTCTTTCGCAAAAACACCTTTCACAAAGATATAAAAAGCCTATA